GTCTGTCCGCTGAGGAGGGGCTTCCCTGCCCTCGCGTGGCTCGAGAGTGCCTGTTTCCTCAGGTGGGCGTAGAGCAGCCTAGGGCGAGGGCAGGGGTTTAGCTGGACCACGGGCATTTCCTAAGTTTAGACATTGTTTCAGAGAGAGAGAGAGAGAGAGAGAGAGATATTCCCTGAAAGACTCTCCACTCTGTGATCCACCCCCGCCTCCGTGGCCAGGGCGGTGGCACGTACGAGGAGGCTTTGAGATGCCGACTGGAGGCCTTCCCACGTGGCTCAGCATCGCAGGGTGCATGCTGCCACCCACAGCACTTGTGACAGTCCCTCCTAGGCCGCTTTAGAACCTGCTGGCCTCTCTTTGTTCACTACCCGCCTAGACTTAGCTGGGAGGGCGGATTTGTGGTGCCCGTGGATCTAACAGTGGTGGCTTTACCTGTTACACTCAGTGGCTGATTTCGGGTACTCGGGCCCACAGAGACGATGGCGCAAAGACAGAAGGGGACGCCCTCCCTGGAAGGTGTCGGCTGTGCACTGCGTGGAGGAGTCCGCACTGTCCTTCGGACAATTGGTATGCCGGAAGCCCAGCCCTCCCGGGAGCGTTAACGACCAATGCGCTGTCCATCTTTGCTCTAGAGTGACGGCCCGAGTTGCAAAGAACATGAATATACTGAGTTCGGGAAGTGGAGGGATGGCTGGGAGACCAGAAGAAAACGGATTCCAGGTAATAAGGTGAAGCTCTGTTGCCCCAGCACTGTATGCTTTCAAAACAGGGTGCAGGAGAGCCAGTGTGCATTCTGGGTAGATTTTAACTGGGACTCTGGGCGTGCCCTGTCATCTGGAACGTCCCTGTCTGCACTCCAGCCTCTGAGATGTCGGAGAGCTCCCACCACAGACGTACCACCAGGCCAAACTGAGGAGGAAGTGCTGTTAGGAAAAGGCGACGTGGGTGAGGGCTGAGGCTGGGGCAGGGCGGTTACTTACTGACCCGCACGGCAGACATTGCCCGAGAAGTGCATCCACACGCGGACTTGACAGCAGCTGCCTGAGGTAGGTGTTCTTAGCCTCGATCCCACGGGAACAGAGCTGCTCACTCTCCAGGTCACACGGCTGGAAGGACAAGCTGGGCACGGGGCCAAGAGCTGTCCTTGGCCACTAGACACACTGCCTTGGAGGTCACCTCAAGGGGCTACTTTTGTTCACTGCTGCTCATCAATTTCAATCCAAGTATACTTTTGAAGTTGATGGGGTGTCTATAGAAGCACTCTTCCAGCATTAGTTGATAACTGGACTTTTTGCTACTGTGTCAAGTATGACAGACGTATTGGACAGTTGCACTTTTCCAAGGTTCTGTGTTGCTTGGAGCAGCATCAGAGTGCAATGAACCTGGATTTTTAAGGTGGCTTACTGTTTGTCAGCAAATAATCAAGAACTACAGAGTGACAGACCCGTCACTTTGGGACTTGAAAGACTTGGCAGACACAGGCAGGTATTGAGGGCAGGGGTGCAGCAGCCCCGCTGAGATAACGAGGTGGTGGAGAGCTGGCTCCGTGCTGGACGCCTCCTGAGCCGGGGACCCGTTTCTATATCACAGCAGCCACACGGAGGCTTCCAGGTGCTAATTTCATGCCTGATTTACAGCTGAAGAAATGAGGCTCAGAGAGGTCGAGTAACGGCCAAGGATGGTCCCAGGACATGATCAGTTTGGAATTAGAACTGGGTCTCTCTGAGTCCACTGCATTTTCGGGCTCAGTAGGACTGAGGATCCATGTTGGGGAATGGCAGTCACGTGGCCGAGAATTACTCTGTACACACTCTCGTGTGGGGGGAGGAGGGTACTCCTGTTATTGGTTGTTTGTCCTTTAGGTTCGTTCAACCGCGTGCTCCGTGTACTGCACTGACTCTAACGGAGATGTCTGTCCACGTTTGTAGGTCATGACTGGTGCGTCATCAAGCTGGGGGTACGAGGAGTGATCCGGGGCTTCGACGTGGACATTTCTTACTTCACAGGCAATTATGCGCCTCGAGTGTCGATTCAAGCAGCAAACTTGGAAGAAGGTGCCGTAGCGACCGGTGTCTGCAAGAATGAGAACTGGGGGGTCGTGGGGCTCATCTGGCTCAGCCCCGACTGTGAGGCAGGCGGGTCCGGCAACTTGTTTAAAGGATGTAGTCGATGAAGCTTCAGAGCTAGGGTGTCCAGTAGAGTGCTCTGTGATTTTTGATTTCAAGCTTGGCAATGCTCTTTGACCCAATATTGATTTCATCATTCCCACCTCCTTTAAGCCTCACAAAGTCAGGTGTTCATGTCCTTGGGCTGTTCAGTGAGCAGGCTACTGAGCAGGGGGGGAGGGGACAACTGGAGGACATGGAGGCAGGAATGGGACAGCTGTGGCCAGCCACTCCCGGCCTGCTGTCAGCTTTCTCTGTGGATGTGACGGTGCGGGAGCTGTCAGGGTTTCATACTCCTTTCTGTCTCTAGGGATGCTGGACTTTGTGAGATTTGCAGGCTCTGTGAGTTATTCTGTCTATCCCTTTCAATGACACCATCTGATGCTGGCTTTAGAATGAACTTTCTCAGAAATATACACACCCCAGTCTGTGTACGTACACGCACGTAAGGGGCAGTCACGCCAGTTGGCAGATGGGTGCCGAACGCGCTGTGCGCACAGCTCTCTGCAAGGCTCCGTGGGGATGCATGTCCCTTCTCCCCAAAGAGAGCCGGTGTCCCTGAGAAGTCAATGGTGATGTAAGTGACGTGACTTCACACACAGGAAATGACTAATGACAACCGAATGATGAATGAGCAGGGTTATTTCGGCAAACCCATCAATCGTCCATGACGGCTTCTGTTTCTGAATCACCCAGTCATCAATTCTAAGGATGCTGTTGGGAGAGAGTTTCTGGAACACCCTGTAACAGTCCAGCTTTACTGGCACAACTTTTAGAAGTTCTAATGATTTGTTGAAGGTTGACCTAAATTGGAAGTGACGTTAGCCACTCTGACCAGCACGCGTGGCACCAAATGTCTCACACGACTCCCTGACACCGCGGTGTTAAGTGCTGTGGAGCTTCAGCTCCTGCCTGTCATCTTGGTCACCTGACACCAGGGCTTACGAGGTGATGGTCTTGGGTACTATCTGGCAGAACTGAGGTTACCGTGTAACCCAATGAAGCACGTACATCCTCCTTGATTCTGAGCCTGACCTTCTCCTGTGGTCACTCTGTCTCCAGATAAACAGCCAGAAATCCCAGCAAGGGGAGGCAGGGCAGGAGCTGCCGCCACACCTGAGGAGCTGGACGCCATTGCTGAGGTACACCTCCGAGAGGGGGGGCGCTCATCATGGAGTATTAGCACAGCAGGGAGCGTCCTCGTGCCTGGCCGTGTGGAGTGACTCTCTGGGACACCCCACCCTGGCGTGCCTCACCTCAGCTTTCCTGCTGTGACCTTGCAAATGAGGCCCAGTCGGCCCTCGGGAGAGGACGTCAGAGCTCATGAGAGACCTCGACTCGGGCTTCGGAAAGCAGCCTCAGTACCCTCTGCAGACTGCTGCTTCCCAGGGAGACCCACAGACCGACAAGGAGCTTTAGGACACCTGCTGTTAAGTTTAAATTTAAGTTGAACTCATTTAAGTTAGTTCATTTATTTTAAATTTTTGATATATATATCTACATATATTTAAATTCGTTAATTAATTTTTTGCTATTATTTTGGTGCATGTGCTCATCAGAGATAGACAGAGAAAGTGATAAATCATTCCGAGGAGGGATGGCCATGGTGTAATCCCTTCTCTTCTGGCCTTCTCTGGGGATTCTGGGCACGCACACACATGCACCTGGCATACTTTTCATGCCACTGGGTCTGGGACTTGAACCTCACAGTCGGCCATTTGGGTCCCAGCCTCCTGGACCTAACTCCATCTGCTGGACCTAGAATACTTTTTGTAATAAATTGATGAAGTAACTTTCTTTCTTTTTTTTTTTTTTGGAGAGATTTTCACTGTAGGGCGCGTGCGCTCACCAGACAGACAGAGAGAGACATAGAGACAGAAAGCGAGAAATCACCCCCCAGGGGGGATGGTCACGCCGCAGTCCCTTCTCCTCCATTCTCCTCTCGGGATCTTGGGCACGCACGCACACGCGCCCGGCGTGAGTTTTAAGCCACCGGGTCTGGGACACGAACCGCGGTCGACTACGTGGGAGTCCAGCGACATAGCCATTACGCTAACTGCTGGTTCCCGTAACTTTCTTTCTTTAAAGAGTTATTTTATTTAACTTTATTAATTCTAATTTGACCAGAGAAGGACATAGTAAGAGAGAGAGGGAGAAGGTGAGAAAGCAAGCCGTGAGGTCCAGGACTCGAACTGCAGTCAGCCATGTGGGAGTCCAGAGCCTCTAACCACTACACCACCTGCAGGCCCTATGACAAAGTACATTTTGTTCCTGATGAATTAAGTAAGCAATTGGAGCTTGTGTTTCAGTACATTTTTATTTTTAAAATTTGACTCGTCTAATAATTATATTTGCAAAAGTGCTGATACATAACAGAAGGATAGCAGCAGCGACAACCAGGCCCTTCAGTTCGAGAAGCACGTCTCTAGGGAATCCGTTGCCAAGTCCGAGCCAGTCAGCGTCCCAGGCCTCTTGGCCACGGGAACTGCCCCAGTTTTCATCTGAATGTTCACCCCACCATTTCCGTTACTTCTCCGAATTCTGAAAATGAAGACGTTTTCACTTTCAGAAGGGATCTGGGATCTCAGCCTTCACTCACAAATACCTACCACCGCCTCCCAGTGGCTAACTTAATCAGTGTGGGCAAATGGAGGAACAGGCTTTTATTCTGTTTGCTTTGAAAAAGTTCTACTTTTTCTTCGGTGAGAGAGAGAGAGGGAGAGAGAGAGACCCCCGGCAGGGTCCCGGCACTGCCGTCTGCCCCAGCGTCAGCTACCTTGGGCTCGTGGGCACACACAGGACAGAGGACTCGAGATCCCCAGACATGAACCGAGAACCCAGAGCCCTCCCACACGGTTGGCCTCACAAGTGTCCCGTTTTATAGCTGCACCCCCACCAGTCCCGTCCCATTTAGTAGTAACTCTGAGCTTGACTGTTAGATTTTCATTACCTGTGCCATTAGGTAGCCATCGTTCATTTTTATCCCAAAGCACGTCTACCCTGTAAACCCACACCGGCACTGCGACGAGAGAGTTCACTGCTCTTACGAGTCGTTGCTAACGTTTGAATATTTATTGCCAGTTAAAATCCGACAGCTGGGATCACTTGGTTCCCATGACAGAGCTTCAACCAGGAAACCCATCCTCCAGCCACAACTATTTCCTGGTCAACTCCCAGCAGAGGTGGACTCACGTAAGACTCAACATTTTCCCAGGTAAATGTGGCACGGACCCACCCCAGTTCTATGGCTTCTTTATGTTGGCCAAGTCATAAAATAGAAAAGAAATGATCATCGATTTCTCTGGCAATTTCAGATTATTGGTCTCTCTGTGCTCCAGGGAATTCCTGCTTTAATCTCTTCACCAACAGGCAGTTACCGAAAAGCTATCGAGCCAATAAAGATGTGATGGAATTAAGTTGTATTAGGTTAGATATCTCCTAATAATTTCTACTCAGTGGTGTATTAGCAGTCAAAGTGGTATGTACGAATGACTCTTTTTCCTTCCATTTTTTAAGTATAGAATTTAAAGCTTTCTGTTGTACAGACAAATAGGTACAACCTCACTGCAGGGAGTTTCAAAACATTTTTCTCTCCTCAGAAAGAAATGCCACCTCCTTTAGCTACAACCGTCATCTCCTCTGTCCCTAAACCATCACTTGTTTACGGTCTGTCTTGAAGTTTTGTAAATGGAATCATAATATTAAGCTCGGTCTCTGGCTTCTTTCACACACCATGTTGTTTTCTTTCTTTCTTTTCCTTTTAAAAGAATTAGTCATTTAATTCCATTTGTTGTTATTATTTTTTAATTTGACCAAGAGAGAGACAGAGAGAGAAAGGGAAAGCGAGAAAGCAAGCCACCAGGTCCAGGACTTGAACCGCAGTAGGTCATGTGGGAACTCAGTGCCTTTAACCACCATGTCACCTGCCGGCCCACGCAGCATGTTGTTTTCAAGACTCAGCTGAGACGTAGCAGGTGGAGTGCTTCATCTCTTCACGAGCGAGTAACACTCCACTGGACAGACATGCACCTAACGTTTGTGCCTCGGCCGATTGGCATTTGATTCTGTCGGCTGGTCAGAATAATCCTGCTGTGGGGAACCAGCAGTTAGCGTAATGGCTATTGTTGCCGGACTCCCACGTAGTTGACCATGGTTTGCGTCCCGGACCCGGTGGCTTAAAACTCACGCTGGGCGTGTGTGCGTGCGTGCCCAACATCCCGAGAGGAGAATGGAGGAGAAGGGATTGCGGCGTGGCCATCCCCTCTGGGGGGTGATTTCTCGCTTTCTGTCTCTATGTCTCTCTCTGTCTGTCTGGCGAGCGCACGCGCCCTACAGTGAAAACCTCTCCAAAAAAAAAAGAATGATCCTGCTGTGCACATGTGTTCACAAGCTCCCGTGTGGCCACAGGCTTTCAGCTGTCTTGAGTATGTACCTACAGTCCGTGTTGTCGGGTGACACGGTGCCTCTGTGTTGCACTGTCTGAGGAACTACCAGGCTTTTCTGAAATGACTGCACCGTTTGACATTCTTGCCAGCCAGGTATGGCCACCCCGATTTCTCCACGTCCCTCCCAAACTCGCTCTCTGTTGGATCACAGTGTCCTGGTGGGTGTGAACTGGTGCCTCTTGTGGTTCTGGCATGCGTTTTCCGGAAGGCTCGCGATGGTAATCAGCTTCTCAGAGCCTGCTGGCCGTTTGCGTATTTCTCGGGACGGTTGTCTCTTCGGCTCTCTATGTCTTTGATTATTGAGTGGCATGAGCTCCTCCTACGTTCCAGATGCTAGTTCCTCACCAGGTATAAAAGTTGCAAATATTTAATGTAACACATACAGGGTTGTTTCAATAGACTGCTTTGATTAAATGATTTTGAGCTTCTGTATAAAAAATGTTTGGCCTCCACCTTCCAGGAAGTAATGGTTGGGACCCAGCAGTAATGAGTGACGCCCGATGTGGCGGGGGCGGGGCCTCGGCCTCAGGTCGGCCAGGGTTGTTTCTCCAGCATGGAGCTTCCTCCCGGTGAACCAGGAGCCAGGTGGCTGTGCCCAGGACCGCAGCAGGGCCACGCCTGAGGCAGGGCCCCTGTTCTGCTGGGGGTGGGGGCCTGGCTGGAAGGAACTCGCCCCCTCGACTGCACTCACCAGGGCTCACCCTCAGCAGCAGGCAGGTGAGGGCGGGATGCGGAACGCCACATCCTGCTGCTCCAAGGGCGAGCTGTGGAGAGGGCGCAGCGGCCACATGTCCGAGCAGAGTCCCCATGGGTGGAGCTGAGAGGGGGCAGCGGACGGTCAGTCCTGGCCCAGACACCCGACTGTCTCTCCACTGAGTCTTGGCAGACACTTCTGAGCAACTAGTTCTTCATTTGCTGAACGCCCTTCCAATCACATGCGGACACATGAAGTGGGCCTCGTCCCCTAATTATTATGAGCTTCACCGGGACACGAGGCAGCCACGCTGCACGGCTTGTGCCTGCCGTGGACCTTGACCTCCGTTTTGGCCTAGCACTTGCTGGTTCTCAGGCTTTAAAGACAGACAGCGGCACAGAGCGCCGGCAGCACGTCCCCCATAGTGACCGCTCACCTCACTGCCTGCCCTAAGGCCGGGGAAGGGGTGAGCGTGCAAATCAGACACAGAGACCGTGAGTTCAACACACACCTGCGGAGCGCCGTCCTTCGGGAGGGACTGAGCACTGCCATTAAGTCATTTTGCTGTCAACAGGGCAGCTGGTCGCAGGATTGAGTTGTCGGTCTTTACTCTTATGAACAACCCAAAGGAAGGCAGGAGGAAAAGTACTTGCAATGCTATGATACTGAAGTATTTAGGTGGAGCTGTAAGAAATCTCTATCTCACAATTCATTTTTTTTGTTTTTTTTTTTTTGGTCAGAGGGTACATGCAGTCACCAGATGAGAGAGAGAGAGGGGAGAGAGAGAGAATACCTCTCATAGGCTCAGTGAGCCAGGACAGCAGTGTTACTCCCGTGGCCTGGCTAGGAACCACTCTTGCTAGCGGTTTTCAGGGATTTATGCCAGCGAAGTCTCTTCTTACTCACTGTAAACAGCAAGGCTTCTACTGTCCTACCAACATTTTTTTCAGATCGCTCAGTTTCACCAAACTTTTCATATGAAAACATACAGGGTTGGGGCCAGCAGGTGGCGTGGTGGTTAAGGCACTGGACTCCCACATGGCTGGTGCGGTTCAAGCCCTGGACCTGGTGGCTTGCTTTCCCACCCCCTCTCCCACTTGCTTTCTCCCTCTCTCTCTCTCTCCTTGCTTCTCACTTTCTCTATCTCTCTCTCTGTTTCTCTCTGGTCAAATTAGTAATAACAAATGCAATTACATAATTCTTTTTCTTTTTTTGAGAGGTTTTTGCTATAGGGCGCGTGCGCTCACCAGACAGACAGAGAGATAGAAAGCGAGAAATCACCCCCCAGGGGGGATGGCCATGCTGCAACCCCTTCTCCTCCATTCTCCTCTCAGGATCTTGGGCACACATGCACACGTGCCCGGCGTGAGTTTAAGTCACTGGACTTGGGACTCAAACCGCGGTCAACTACGTGGGAGTCCAGCGACATAACCATTACGCTAACTGCTGGTCCCCAATTACATAATTCTTTAAAAACCCGCACAGGGTTGAGTTTAGCGGAATACACTAGTTACATGACTTCGAGCTCCTGTATACAAACTGCCTGGCCTCCACCTTTCAGGAAGCGATGGTCAAACGAGCACTTTGAGCTCGCTGGGACCCGGGCTATAGTGCTTCTCAGCAGCTGGGAGGGCCTGCGAACGCCGTCCTTTGTCCCTCAGCTCGCCCTGAGCTGAGCCGTGAGGCAAGGACGTAAACACACCATGTTCTTGCTCAGGTCTGGGTGGGAGTGGCAGGGCTCATTTCTGACACTAGGCGTTTCATTCGCACTGAATTTCCCAACTGCCTTTTGATCTTTTCGGGGCTGTTCATTCAGGAAAAAGATCCGAGCACCTGCCGTGCACCAAGTCCCCGGGAGGCAGGGTACAGAAGCAGCCAAGACGGAGCAGCTCTGGCCTTCATTTTAGATTCTGGGTCTGGGAGACTGGTAACAGCAAGGGCTTAAAACGTGGCAGGAAACGAGAAGTGATCTCAGACCGCTCCGGGGCTCAGCGAATGATCGGCGTGGATGGAATCAGCCCGAGTCAGGAGGACTGGTGAAGGGCAAGAACCCCAGAGAGCTGGGACGGCCTTTCTGAGACCATGGCACTGGGGACCTCAGAACAGCCTGCGGTCTTCTGGGGGGCTGGGGAAGGCCCAGGGCGGAGTCGTGCTGTTCTAATGACAGAAAGCAGGTAGGTGTGGCCCTGGCCTGCCGCGAGCGCCATGGAGAAGACTGGGGGGCTCAGGGCGTGATATGCGTGCAGCCCCTGGGCCAAACGGGAAGTAACGAAGGCACCTTTCCTTTCCAGACGGTGGGATTGCCCGTCTCAGAGTGTACGGGACTGGACAAAAAGACTGGACTGCAACGGACCCCAAGGAGCCCGTGGACCTGGCGGCCATTGCTTTTGGGGGTGTCTGCGTAGGGTTTAGTAATGCACAGTGCGGGCACCCGAACAACATAATAGGTGAGATGACGCCGTCTCGAACTTCTGGGCACCGGCGCCCCCTCCTCAATGTGCTCAGGCTGAGTTCCGAGGAAGGGCCGTCACGATGCCTGACAGCAGAGAGCACCCCGATGCCTTCATGCATAAGTCAGTGCAGGCAGCCACCCCTGCCCGATTTGGCCCACGTAGTTACTATGGAAGGAAAAGTTCAGTTTGCCAGCGCTCAGCTTGCCTGTGCTGTACTGGGGCACTAACCGTGCTGACTCACTCAGTAGCTATGTCCAAGTGCATGGAGCGGTGATTTAGTGACACCCACGAGCTCACTCTCAGATTTAAGGTGACGTGGTGCGTGGCACCGTCCTGCGGTGTCGTCTTCTGCAGGAGTTGGCAAGACAAGGTCGGTGGCAGACGGCTGGGAGACTGCGCGAAGGCTGGACAGGCCCCCTGTTCTGGAAGTAAGAGACCAAGACCAGTTACAGTGTAACGCTTTCCCGGAGGATTCTCTAGCAGGCCCTGTGGCTTCCGTGGTTAAGGGTGTCAGATCTCACATGGCTGACCATGGTTCGAATCCCAGCCCTGGTAGCCTGAAAACCATGCTGGGCACATGCGTGTGTGCCCCAAATCCTGATGGGAGTGGAAGATGGAAAAGAAGGGATTGTGATCTGACCACACCCCCCTGGGAGGTGATTTCTCCCTCTCTGTTTCTCTCTCTGGTAAGTGTACCTGCCCTCTGGAATTAAAAAAATATTTTTTAGAAAAGTTTTTTCTTTTTTCTTTTTTCCTTTTTTGGTAGAGACTTTTGCCTTAGGGAATGTGCACTTGCTGGAGAGACAGAGAGAGACAGAAAGTGAGAAATCACCTCCCAGGGGGCATAGCCATGCTGCAATCCCTTCTCCTCTCAGGATTCTGGACATGGACGCACACACACCTGGTGTGTTTCAAACTACCGGGTCTAGCACTCAAACTTCGATCGGCCATGTGTGAGTACTGCTGTGCCGTCTGCTGGCCCTCAGAGTTCTTTTTTTTTTTTTTTCATTTTACGTTAAGTTTTGTATTGTAGAAATTTCTTAAGCATTCTTCTAAATGTTTGCCACCATCCTCCATGTTTTCCAAATTCCCTGCTAGTTCTGTTATAATATCAGGGCACATACACAATATGCTTGTTACTGCCCACTGCCTCTGTGAGGCTTTGGGATAGTCCTGTTCTTTCAACAAAGAAACAAAAGGATCTACTATTTTATGATACAAAATCTGTGAATAATTCATTGGCAGATATGCAGAAAAGCCCACCCCTTTAATAACTTCTAGTACCTGTGTCTCCCAGGACGAGAGCACGTATGCGCAGAGAGCATGTATGTGCACATGCGACTGGCCCACTCCGTCCCTGTGCTGGTGTTTGGGCCAGTGACTAACCTGAGATACAGACACCAAAGCAAAGCAGATACCTCTGTCTGCACATCTCCCTGCAAGCCGGTCAGAAACAGCCTTCCCTGGTTTGTGTTAATTTCACGACACTGATGTTTCCAGATGCGACGACTGAGCCCCCGTAGATACTGAGGCCTGGCGGCAGTCCTTGTGTTGGCACAGACTCAACCAGGAAGACATCTTACTTACTTTCTTTTTTGAAAGGAATTTTTGCTATAGGGCATGTGCACTCAGCAGGGAGACAGAGAGACAGAGAGACAGAAGAGAGACATCACCCCCCAGGGAGGATGGCCAAGCTGCAATCCCTTCTCCATTCTCCTCTCAGGATCCTGGGTATGCACACTCACATGCCTGGTGTGTTTGAAGCTTCCAGGTCTGGGATTTGAACTGCGGTCGACTACATGGGAGTCCAGTGACATAGCCATTACACCACCTGCTGGTCTCATGGAAACATTTACTTTCAAAGGTCAAAACAAACCAATCCCCACAGCTAAGGGCTAGGTTTGATGAAGATGCTCTCATGTATGACCTGAAGGAGGCTGTAAGTGACAGAAGATTTTACTGGAACTGTATAGAAATTTACCGAGACCCACTGAACTCACGAGCTGGCATCAGCACTAAGGAGTGCCCCAGAGCATTACACGCACAGTCACCTGTACCTCAGGCACAGAAACATGCACAGCACGAAACGAGACAGCCCCAGTGCATCCCGACATTTCCCACCTGCCGGTTTTAGGATCAGTTTCTCTCTTTTATTATTTACGAGAGAGAGGGGGAGAGCAAGCCCTCCCTCTGGGCGTGGTCACGTGCAGTCCCCCTCCATCTCTCCACTCCGGCAGGGCCTCGGGCACGCATGCACACATGCCCGGCTGGGACTGCCATTGCAGTCGGCCACGTGGAATCTGGCTCCCCACACATGGCAGGCAGGGCCAGCCCGGGAGCTGTTCCCTGAAGGCCTCCAGGTCAGGTGACTGCTTTCTGTTTTGTGTCACTGCTAGCAACACGAGAGTGGCTTCCTCCAGCCTCAGGGCTGTGAGTGGGCAGTGTTCCGCCTGGCGCACCCCGGAGTAATCACTCAGATCGAGATCGACACCGACTACTGCCAAGGTGAGCGTGGCCCCAGGGAGTGCTCGCTGCTTGGGGCTTTACCCGAGGATGTCACGGCCCTGGGCGCCCCCATCGCCAGGTCACCGGGGACAAGCTACCGTACTCCCGGTCATAGAGGCTCCAGAGCTGAGCGCCCTTGCAGGACAGGCTCTGCACCCCGAGAGCCTGCGAGGACAGCGGGGAGGGGCCATCTTCTTACAGAGGAGGCTGCTACACAGACTGACTGGGGACCTCATCTCCGGTCTCGACACAAAGGCGGCTTCGAGCTGTGCACATCCATCTGTAAGATAATTGGATGAGGAACCCCAGTACCATTACTTTTGAGTGGTACACATGCTTCTATGTATTAAGAGAGTTCAAAAGAGGTTTCCAAATCATTAGGTGGCATTTTATAAGTACCGGATTAGCTATTTCATGATTCTTTAGTTGTGCATGAATAAATGGTGGATGTTCATATTACTATTTTGGATGTCTTTCAAGTCATGGATTTACTCAGTAATTACATCAAGGTGCAAGATGTCAGGCCTGGCTCACCATCCATAGTGCTGGGTGTGAGCTCGTCAGTTTAAGGGGTCTCGGAAGTTTTAACTGATTTTTGGAGGCCTTCAGTTTACTTTTTATTTTTTAAAGTTTGTTATAGGGCAGGGACCAGCAGTTGGCATAATGGCTATGTTGCTGGACTCCCGTGTAGTCGACCATGGTTCGAATCCCGGACCTGGTGCCTTAAACTCATGCCGGGCACATGTGCGTGCATGCCCAAGATCCCTAGAGGAGAATGGGGAAGGGATTGCAGGGTGGCCATCCCCCCTGGGGGGTGATTTCTGGCTTTCTGTTTCTCTCTGTCTTTCTGGCGAGCACATGCACCCTATAGCAAAAACTTCTAAACCGCTCCCCCCTCCCCCCCAAAAAAACCCCACAAAAAACAAGTTATAGAGTGCATGCACTTGCTGGAGAGGGACAGACGGATAAAGAGAAAGGGCCAGTGAGAAATCACCTCCCAGAGGGGACGGCCAGGCCATGTTCACTTCTCCATTTCAGGCACACACGCTCATGTGTCTGGTGTGTTTTTTAAGCTGTTAGGTCTGGGACTTGAACCAGAATAGTAGCTATGAGGGGTCCACAGTCCCAACCACCATGTCACCTGCTGGCCCATGGAGGTCTTCATTTTAGATCATTTTTACTTTCCTCTCAGCTGACACGGAGCACGTCCTGGGGCCGGGGGACATCAGCCCACTCTGTTCTCAGCGTCCATGTGTGTTTGCAGTTTTAGCACTGTCCTCAATCTGCAGCCTCTGCACGAGTGGGTTAAAATCACTTTTTAGGGGCCAGCAGGTGGCATGATGGTAAAGACGCTAGAGTCCCACATGGCCAACCGTGGTTCAAGTCCCAGACCTGGTGGCTTGACAATTACATTGGGCACATGTGTATGCATGCCCAAAATCCTGAGAGGAGAGTGGAGGAGAAGGGACTGAGGCACGGCCATCTCCCCAGGGTGTGATGTCTCACTTTCCTTCTCTCTTTCTGTCTCTCTCCAGTGAGCACACATGCCCTATGGCAAAAACACACACACAGAAAAATAAATTAAAATCACTTGTTTATTTCTGAGGGCTGGCTTGTTAAAACCAGGCGAGCACTAGTAAGCCTTAGCCAGGCCTGAGCCGCAGTGAGCCGCGAGTACGCTGCCGTGGCCCCTCAGGTGCCCTGAACCATGGAAGTCAGTCACGGAAGTGGACAAACACGCAGAGCTCAGCGCAGCTAGTTCTTCTGGCACTGTTGTGTTAGAAAATGCAATGCCATGAGGGGCCGCTTTCCAGCTTTGTCACAGTCCTGGGTGGGGCACACAGCGGTATGCATGCACACAGCTGCCACCTGGGGCCGAGGCACGCCGGCGCTCGCTGCAAGACCACCACACATGCCAGCCCAGACGCGCCAGCCAGACAGGCCGCGGGCCGGTTCTGGAGCCTCTGGGAAAGAAATACTCGCCTGTCTGCAGAGGCGAGCAGCGCCGTCAGGAATCAGTTCACCCCTTCTCACAACTTCACGCCTTTGCTTTTGCTTACAAAGAAAAGCAACTCGTTCCTTGCTGAGCCAAGCTGTGCCGAGTGTCATCAGAGGGCAGAAAGTCACTCTTTATTTGTCCCAACAGGTAACTGCCCTGACAGCTGCAAACTGGATGGGTGTATCCTGACAACGCAGGAAGAAGACGACATGATCAGACAGAAGTGGGACCTTCCGGCTGCCAGGTGGAAACCACTGCTTCCGGTCACCAAGGTTCGGTGCTGTAGGGGTGGTGTCGGCCCCCAGCCAGGGACTGCCCTCAGACCCACTTTTGAGGGACTGGGACACGATCCAAACCTTCTGCTCAGCTTAACAGTAAAATGAACAAGCTTAAAAAGCTCACCTGTGCACTTAGACGAGAGGAAGCAGGTGCCTTCCCACTTTGCATGCTTTTTAACTTTAACATTTTATTTTGAAACTTTCATGAGAAAGAGAGCTAGAACATCCCCAGCAGTCTTGGCACTGCAACCTCCCCCTGCCCAGGTCCAGCCAGCTCCAGATCATGGGCACACACAGGCCTGGTGTCTCCAGGGAGGCCTCCGAACACGAGCCTGGCACCTCTGAGGGGCGGCTTTGCAGAGTGTGGCTCACCCCTGCGCTATGGTCCAGGGCCCTCCCCTGCATCTCTAACAATCAATGGGTTACAACAAAAAATGCTCAAATGTTTAGAGTACGTGAATGGAAAATGTTCTGTATTTAAATTGTTTTGGGGGGCTGGCATATCCGAAGCTATAATGGTGTGTCCCCCACGGGACAGATGCTCACAGATGGTCCAGAAATTTCGTCCTGGGTTGAGGAGGAGGGCATGGTCAGTGTGGGTCAGAGAGGAGCTGAGGGTGGCTCCCACACGGAGATGGGTAAAGGGCTCTGGGAGATGCCAAGGTGACCTCTTTCACTTTCTTATCAGTTAGTTGAGTCGTTTGAAAACTCTCAGCCTCTGGGCACCTACACCGCCCAGTGTCACTGGGCATGCCTCCCCTGCTAGCACTCATCCACGGTAAGGGTGGCCGTCAGTAGCTGCAGGTCTTTGAGACCTGAAGTCCAAGCCAAAGGGCTGTATTGGTTGAGGAGTTCGGGTGTACACAATCTGCTGTAATGGGGGCCGTGCATACCCTGCTGTGACGGGGGCCCATGCACGCCCTGCTGTAACCAGGGCCATGCGTGGCCTGCTATGACGGGGGCCGTGCACACCCTGCTGTAATGGGGGGCCCACGCACACTCTGCTGTAACCAGGGCCGTGTACGCCCCGCTGTAACAGGGGCCGTGCACACCCTGCTGAAACAGGGGCCGTGCACACTCTGCTGTAACCAGGGCCGTGCACACCCTGCTGCAACGGGGGCCGTGCACACCCTGCGTAATGGGTGCCCGTGCACGCCCCGCTGTAACCGGGGCCGTGCACATCTGTCTTCCAGCTCTCCCCCAACCAGAGCCACTCATTCGACAGCCTGACCCTGGAACTCCAGGACGTGATCACCCACGCCAGGCTCACCATCACCCCAGACGGGGGCGTGGGCCGCCTTCGGCTCAAGGGGTTCCCCAGCTCCATCTGCCTCCTGCGGCCCCGTGAGAAGCCTATGATGAGGTTCTCTGTGAAAGCGGGCTTCAGAGCCAACGTCTGAGCCCGCCAGACCCCCCTAGGCCCTGTGGGAGTCACCAGTCCTCGTCTTCCTCTTGTGAATGCGTGTGTCTCCCGGTGATGTAATAAAGTGGTCTCACACAGCGTGCTCTGTCTTCAGTGCTGTCTGGCAGCTTAAAACCCCGTGTGGCTATGAATGGCAGGGCTCTTGGAAGGAAGCACTTTGTTCTGAACACCAGGGTACTAATATTAACACTGTAACGTTCTGCACTGTCCGTGTGTAGATCCAGCCTGGTGTCTGAAAGTGTAAGTCCATCAAAACCACTGGGAACATGTGTTTCTAGAGTCATTGTCCCAGCTCTTTACCCAGAACTGGGAGCGACCTTCCAGGGACCCCCAGGCCCTGGAGGGTGCACCCTGAAGGGGGCTCTCCCCAGACCCCGTGCTGCTGTGGTCTCACAGCTCCAAGCTGCTTGGAATGGCCCCGAGATCCCTTCTCTGGTGGACAAGCACAGCTGACCCCCAGTCAGAGGACTGACCTCCTGAGCTAGAGGACTTTTGGGCCCAGTGGTCAAACCCTCCCTAGTGCTCAGATGAAATCCCGCTCAGAAAGGTGCGGCAGCTTCCAGCCCGGCCCTGCTCAAAGGTCCAGCTGGTTCTCCCAACCCCTCCCCGCCTCTTCTGCAGAGGCCAGAGCAGGCCAGTGGGAGCGTGGACACCCCTGGCTGCTCAGCCCCTCTCCGCCTGGCCACCTCGGAAGACAGCCTCCTCCTCTTCCTGCCCTGACCTGGGCCTGCTTCCTGTCTGGGCTCCCCGCTGCCCCCTCCCCTACAAGGGCGGCCTGTGGCGGTCACAATCCCCCGGGGTCGCGTCAACACTGGGGTGCTGGGCGGGCAGTCGCGTCCCTGTGGCCCTGGCTCTCCGTGGCTGGGGCATCCGTCCGACCGCCCCCCGGCTCTGCTGG